TCGTCAATTTCTTGTGACCTCCACCAGCAGCTATTTTTACTTAAGATAATGACTTGACTGCAATATAATATGAGATGGTCTAAATACTGCATTTATTTTTGAAGAAACATCAGTAAAAGTGCTTCAATAGGTCTTAAATATGAAAAAAATAATCAAACAAGGAGCTGCCATCTTGACTGTACTGTTTATTCAGGACCCAAGACATGTATCCCTGGGATATATTTCCCAATGCAAAAAAAACAAAAAACAAAAAACAAACAAACAAAAGCTTCCACCATTGAAAAATAATTCCATTAAGTCACTCACATTTTTAAATGCTTTAGTGCCACTTGCAAGGATTACTCTAAAGGCTTATTACTCTCACTTTCACACATATTATGTGGAATTACTTAAGGAGAGCCCCAATGAGCGTGCTTCAAAGCATTTTACTTCATGACAGAGTAAGATCATTATATGACCTGCCCCTTTTCACCTTTCCAAAATTTGATGTGCGTGTATTCTTCAGTATTCACAAGGCATCTAAAAGACTATATATTTTTTAAGCCTTTATTCATACTTCTTGGCTCTAATCATCATACCAGCCAGTACAAAGATGGTAGGCAATAGAGAATCCTGTTTTGGGAAAATGGACTTTTATTATTCTATTTGTTTTCAGAATGTAATTTACCAAAGGGAAAAAAGCATATGTAGAACTAGACAGAACATGCATGCCTGTATGCACACTATGTTTAATGACGACAACAAAATTACAGTAACTTTCCTAACTCAGTTTAAGCACCTAAGAAACCTAACCAACAAGCCTGGATTGAATACCATCAGAAGTCTGAGCCTGAGTCGGACCTAAAGCCTACATAAAGTTCCAGAAATACCACAGATAAAAACTGCAGAGCAAAAAGATGTATTCTGTTCAACATTCTACTGTCAGTATCTTTAAAAAAAGACTCCTGACAGAAAAATCACTAAACTCAAGTAACAGTTTTTAAGTCTCCTCTGAAGTAAAAAAAAAAAAAAAAAAAATGGGGGGAGAGGAGTGGAATGCTAGGAAAGAAAGGAATTAGTTACTGAGACATGCCAGGATACAGGTACATCCAAAATACAAGATATTTACGCATGAATAGAAAGACAAAATAGACTTTTCAGTGTCATTTCTACTCATCAATGCAATCACGACTGAAAGAAAAACAACCCTATATATGTTTCTTTCATGCCATATGTCCTGGTTTCGGCAGGGATAGAGTTAATTTCCTTCCTAGTAGCTGGTACAGTGCTGTGTTTTGGATTTAGGAGGAGAACAATGTTGATA